CCCCTCCGTGTGTTCCCTTCTCTTTATTTTGATGCCACTTAATTACGAGAAACCCGTCTACAGTTTGCACAGCAGCCGGGACGCGGCCGTTGGGGCCCATTGGTTTGAAGCGTGTCTGGGGCGAGAGGGTTATTTTCTGTGCGCTCAGGACTTTTTAGGAAGAAAAAGTAAAACCCCCCTTCAAAAATAAAAAAATCTAAAACTTCGTTTTAACAAAAGACAAAACCCGACAAAATTCTTCGTACACACTCAGTTTTGATACCAGTCGGTAGAGACGCAGAGCGAGCGGCCTCACGGTCGTGGGTAGAGCGCAGACGGACCGCGGGTCTGACCGGGCGGGATGCCGCGTCCGGGCAGGTCCGACAGTTCAGGGCCGCTTACGGATGTCCCCTCCCTCCGCCGGCGGAATTTAAGCCGGCCTGTTTACTAGAACAGCCCCTTGCTTTGGCTTTCCCCGTCTCCAAACCCCGGCTCGGCGTCAGCAGGGGCGCCCCGGCGGCGATGCGGGGCGCGCCTCACCCGCCCGCCTCTGTTCTGCTGCAGGCAGAGCCGTGAGCCCCAAGTCCGTCTGCGAGGGCTGCCAGCGCGTCATCTCGGACAGGTTCCTGCTGCGGCTGAACGACAGCCTCTGGCACGAGCAGTGCGTGCAGTGCGCCTCCTGCAAGGAGCCCCTGGAGACCACCTGCTTCTACCGGGACAAGAAGCTCTACTGCAAGTACGACTACGAGAAGTAAGTGCCCGCGCGTCCGCCGCTGCAAGCCGCGAGTGGCACCCGAGTGCCCGAGGGCTTGGTGCCCTCTCCCGGTGTGAGGCTTACTCCCCTGGCGGCCGATCACCGCGCCGCGCCCACGCCGGGGCGGACGCGGCGGGGGCTCCCCTGTGCGGCCCCCTCACCCCGTTCTCAGTCCTGTGGGGCCCCTACCCCGACTTGGGGTGTCCATCAAGCTTGTTCCCTCCTGCGCCCCTCTGGGCGCCCTGCGGGCTGCCCGTGGCCCGGCTCCTTGGCATCAGTGCCCAGCCCCCTTACCGACCTGTCCGCCCCGCGCTGAAGCCTGGCCGTGCGGCCGGACCGATCCCAGGGCTTCGGGCCCCTACTGCGGTTCTCGCTTGGCTTTGTCCACTGGGGTCCCGACATACTCGCTCAGAAATGGCGCTGCACCTCTGAGCTGCCAGCACACACCCCGTTTTTGTTTTCTCTATACTCTTCCCCCCTTTCCCTGTTTCTCTAAACCCCTGGGGTTCGAGGGGGCTAGGCCACCCTTGGGGCCTGACGCAGCCTCGGCTCCATTCTGCGCCCCCTTCCCGTCCCCCTGGGTGTGCGTTTTGGCTGCCCAGAGGGGGTACTTCCCTCCTGCCCTCCCCAGTGTCCCGGGTATTTCGAGGAGAATTAGGAGGCAGGTATTTCGGAAAGTGGATTACTTGGAATCTGGAGTTCCGTGATGCCAAAGCCTGGGTGAGGCCAGGGAGGGGGCCAGGGCTGCCGGGTTCTCACCAGGCCCGAGAGGCCAGCGGCTGTGAGGAGCTAAGGGGAGGGGGCTGTGCTCCTTGTCGAAATTGCTAATTAACCGGGACACCGACTGCACAGAGCCCTGGAGGGTGCTGAAGGACAGAAGAGGGGCTGAGGCAGCCGCCTCCGTTTTTGTGACTGGGACTGGTCCTGTGACCCCGTGGGCGCGGGCGCCCGCGGGAGGATGCCTTGCTTGTCGCTGGTGGATGAAAGGGACAGCGCTGTGCCAGGGAGGGGAGCATGCGAGGAGCTGTCCTGTCCTGTCCCTAAAAGCACGCAGTGAAGGGGGCGTGCAGAAGTCTCCACGGGACAAAAAGCACTGAGAAAACCCAGAAATACATTCTTTTTTATATTGCCGCATTTAGTGTTCAATGCGACAGAGCTATGAGTCCTGTGACCACACACAAAATATTCTGTCTGCTGCTCGACGCTGCTTTGCCTTAATACCCTTGAATTTACCGCCGTGGGGATAGAGTACTGGGAATTTCATGATTTGTTTTAAAAATATAACTACATTTCAGCACTAAAAACACACGTGTGATTTGGGATGCGCTGTTCAGTGCAGAACACTAGAAAGTGGAAACGCAGGCCTCCGCCCCGAAGTGGTGATTATGGTTAACGCTAAAGAAAGATAGGCCTTTATCTGTCCTCGGCTGTCTGTTTATTGCTGCAGTGTCTGAGTGAAGGGTGCAGTGTTAGGTGATGGAGCAGATTTTGCCCACGCAGCCCCGAGCCGCACCTCGGGAGAGAGCTCTGGCTGGCTGCTGGCGCTCCCCCTCGCCTTCGCCTGCAGCCCCGTCTCAGCTCTCCCCTTGTAGACAGTCACCAAAATGCCGCATCGCTCGGGCAGAACACTAGCGAATTCGAGAGTGTTGGAGCTGAGGAAGGGATTTGGGTTTTGAATTTCTGTTCTGTTTGCTAAAAAAAAAAAAATTGAAAATAAGAAAAGGCTGAGGGTCAACACAGCTGTCTGGCCTTCAGATCTCCTTAAAGGAAGTCAGGCTGTGTCAAGAGAAGAGGCAGTTGTTGTAAGGCCCTTAACTCAACAATGTCCTTTCCCTCTTGCCCCGCCGGCGGGGTTGGCGGTTTGGGCTGATTAGCCCACTTAGGGTCACTTCTCCCTCGCAAAGCTGTTTCTGCAGAGAGAAAATTGCAGGGATCAACTTGCCAGCTGTTGGCCAGAACCCGGAGGATTTTAGAGCCGAGTGTGAGCGAGCCACGCTGCTCAGAGAGCCGGTGATTACGGGGTGGGGGGGGGTCTCCATTTTAATTTCAACAAATATTTTGGAAACAAAGGCATCCAGGACGGGGCTGCTTGGACTCTGTATCTCCTTGCCTGTGCCCAGCCCGTCAGTTGCTTTTTTATATTAATTTTACTCCTTTCGCCCCTCCTCCTTTATCCCCCATCCCAATCCCATTCTTCTTCCAACAAAACAGGGTTTTAATATATTTGACCATCTCCATGGTATTAGTCTGCGTGGTGGGAGACACAGGAGAGGCTTGTTTGTTTCTTTGTCTTAAAATTGGGCTCAAGACAAACTCCTTTATTCTTTAATATTGCACGGAGCCTCTGCATGCGCGGAGCCTCTGCGTGCAAGGCTGGCTGGTGGTGAGCGGCGGCTGGGGAGGTCTCAGCCCGCCTTCAGGGGGCGCGCAGCCCAGCGCTTTTCCATCGCGTTATCCTGGCTAGGACTCTTTCTCCAAAGCCCCTCCACGCAGAGTACAGGGCTAGGAATTAGAGAGAAGTGATCGAACGACCAGGTACTTGTCCTCCGGAGGAGTACCATCCAATTTTAGATCATAGTCACGAAACAGAGAGCACGTCTCCTCTTTAACAAGTATGTTTGTAGAAATAATTTCGTTTTTTTTCCTTGGGTCTTTTTAAAATTTGAGGCCGAGCCAAGGGAAATGCAGAGGAAAAAAAAAATGCAAGTTGAAGTAGATGATGGTAGAGTGTGGAACACTTAGTACAAAATGAACATTCAGGAAGTGTCCTTGTCTCCAAAATTCATGAAATCCAAATGCTGTTTCTATACATGAAAATGACAGACAGCTAACGTGAGGTCTTCAGGGAAGGCCACGCATCGCACTCACCAGGCACGTTCATCACATTTATTTTAGACACTCGTGTGTGCATGTTCATCATATTTATTTTAGACACTCGTGTGTGCATTCTGGCTGTTGGGCAGTTTTGCACTTGAATTATTAGCTGCCTGTTCATGGTGTCAGGCAGCCAGTTAAAAAGTGAAATTTCTACTCTATCAGCCAGTTGTCACACTATCTCAATGTCAAGCACCAAATTTGTCTAAAAAAAAAAAGGAACTGACAGAAGTATCTTAGGCACACTGCCATCCATTTGAAAGCGTCAGGATGCTTTGTTAAATATTTCTGTCCTACACTACGACACTCCTAGGAAAAATTTATCTCTTGATCATCCAAAACAAATAGGCATTAAAGGAGTGCAGAGCATTGATCTATGAATGTCCAGACATGGAGCGCTGGACGTGACTTTTATTGTCTGTGACGTGTCATCCAAGGAAGAAGACTGGTCAGGTGGGGTGGTGTAGTCACAGAATTGAAGAGGGGACACCGGGATGCTGGTGGTGTGGACATTTAAAGACTGGACACAACTGTCTTCCAAGGTCCCGAAATCAAGCAGACAACCAAAATATTTCCCAGCCCAGGGGACTTCTATTTATAGAAATGTTGGTCCCTATTTCACGGAGTCCTGTGATCTGGGTAGTTTGGAGTTTTCCCTAAATTTGTTCCAAACAAACACTGCAGTTGGACTTCAGTCAGAGACAGAAGAGGCTGCTGAGTAACAGGAATGTGGTAATACAATAGATAATTAAGCCTTCTGGAAGGGGTCCCGCAGTTAAATCAAATTGATACTGTGTCTTTACTGTGCCTGGCGGCTCAGCTGTCGGGCAGGGCCTGTTCCCCTCACATGTGAGGTTTATCACCATCCCTTAGATTGCTCTGGACGTCGTAGGAGCCGTCTGGGATAGTATTGCTGTCATCGGGGCTGCTCTCCCAACATCATAACTCCCCACATGTCAGCAGATCGCAGGCCTTGGGAAACCTCTCCTCCCAGGGCCGACCACGGTTCCTCCCCTTGCCTTTGGAGCAGACGGACTTTGTGAAGAAAGGGCCCGAAAGGGGCTCCGTGCGTATCTCTCTTAGAGACCCCTCTGCAGCATCTTTTCTTGGACCTGCTGATTGGCAGCCCCTCGGGGAGAATGGCTGAGGTAATGGTCTCTCTTAGGACGAGTAATGCACTAATTCTGCATTTTATTAAGGTTGTGGAAGATGTGAGTGTAGGGAGGACAGTTAGTTGGGCTTTATTATTGGGGCATTACTTGGAGATCAACACTGGGCACGAAGTCACCCCTAAAAGGAGCCACAGATGAAACGAAAGAGGCTGTTGTTCCACTTTTGCTCCACTTTGTCTGTTGCTGGCACCGCTCCTGGCATAATAAAATGTGAGGAATATAAAAATCAAATACAGCTAGGTAATAAATTGATGTCTGCGTTAAATTGCTGGGGGCTTAGCTTGGCTGTGCAGCGCCGTCCCCAGGCTGCGGCTGTGTGTGTGTGTGTGTGTGTGTGTGTGCGTGCAAAAAACATTTCCCTCTTTTTTTATTTAGAGGGTGATTGGAAACAGTCCTTGCTCAGAGGTGTTTTCTTTTTTATATGTATTGGTCCCCGGGCAGGACTTTCTTGGAACCTAAGACTTAAAATTCTGAAATACAATCAGATATTAATGGTATTCTGGGACTTTTGGAGTAGGCTCATGGGATCCTTTTGGTTCTTACATAAATGGTGCCACTAAAGGAAGTTATGATATGTTCAGTTTTATGTGCTGTGCAGTCCTGGGACCCTTGTCATTCACCTGGCTAAGGTGTGGCTGTGGTTCTTCAGATTTCAGTGACAAGAGCTTTTCTTGATAGTTTGCTGTTTGTCTGGCTTTTTAGTTTCTTTTTTTCTTTTTTTTTTATGTATGACTTGTATTTATCAAAATACTGTTGGTAATTTTAGAGAGGCCTCTTCCTTGCTGCTTCTTAATTCTGGGACTTTTTTTTTTTACAGATAATGACGAGAACAATTCCATTTATAAAATTACCAGCTAATTATTGTTTATAGTCAAACAAATTTTGGGGGTCTTAGTGTTTAAAAGTGAGAAAGTAAACAAGGATTTAGAATACTCATGATATTACCAGAAA